CGGAAATATTCTCCAATACTGTGCGGACTGAAACATATGTTGATCTCTGTGTACCACAGTCATTTGATCACCATCATGTCCAACAGATTCTGTTCAGATTCAGTAGTATCCAACATTACAATCGTTTCAATTTGCAAGAGAGTTGTTCGGCAAATTTTGTGCGATTTCGGCTGAATGGGGCCACATCTCACAGGCATGACAAATTTGGACAGTGATGACTGGATGGGCCTGACTGTAGACAAAATTGGTATCGTGTTGTTAGTTCTCAGCAACCGTGTTTCGGCGAGAACACATTTTATTGTGGCCGATTGCCAAAACTCGCATTGTTACCTGTGCTCCTCTGAGTTATGCATGTGTTTTTGAAAGAGAGATATGAGGATATTTGAATGTCGTCTTGTCCAAGGAGTGGAAAACCTCTGCGGTGTATTGTTTCGAACTTGGCCAGCTTGAAATGCGAATCTGCTAGGTCGGAGCAACGTTGTTATGGTTATTGTATGAAACGATGAATGTTGGAAATGTGGACTTTCAGCGCTGTAGCTCACGTTGATTAATTCATTTATTCTTGGGTTTTTCTCATGGATTTAACCTCAATTTCTCGGAAGCGGTCGCGGTGTCTCTGACGGTCACATAATTGTGAGCGCTGGCAAGGCAGATCAGGTGGAATTAGGGGTGATCATTCAGTCGGCTGAAGGTAATCTGAGTGTGCAATTAATGTTTCTGGCGTTCTTGAGCTACTGTTGTGCAAGCAATCTACCTGACCTCATCAACGTTTTCGGTACTTCTTGCCATACTGTGCATTTAAATGCGTGTATAGAAAATCAGAGATTTTTCATGACTTGTTCATGACATAATTAACACAGTTGCCTGTGCACATCACTTAGGATCCTTAAAACAAGACGCTTTTGTGTTAAATGATCCAATTTGCCTGACAACAATTTTTTGAGATAAGTGTGTTCAAATGCCTGGTTCAATTGTTTTCAGATCTGAATGCCTCATCCCTTATTGCATTTTTATTAACAAGGACACCCGGCTCGCTTGGGAAAATTGTTCACCTACTTAGATCTCTTTGTTTCCTTGAAGCAGAGAGGTTAATGCCGTTTTGCGTAGGCATTGCACTTTCAGATCGCATCAGTTGTATTTGTGTAGTATTCTTTAGTGTGGGCTCACAGGTGGAAAGATAAAAGATAAAATGAATCAAAAACTACTTTCAAATCATAAAGAATTTGGCGACTCTGCATATGCATCTCTCATCCTTCCCGGCGTCATCGGTTTCATGATTCATTAGTGCAATGGCTGTTTATAAGAAATAAAAGCTTGCATAAAATATTTCTTAATATGGTTTTTGACGACCCGTGAGTTGGCTTTCTTAGCCATTGTGCTCGCACCCTGAATTCTTACTTCTGAGGCACGTCAGGCATATGCGAAGCGACTACAGTGTGAGATCAAGAGCCGTTTGTTGTCGTGCTCGCTTATGTGTGTGGACGTTGAAAATAGACATTGCTTTCAATATGATTCATAGATACCTAAGAATAGTGGCGCCATGTGGCCAACAGATATCGCACGTGAGACAGATGCGAGACGAATGGTGTCATTAGTTATGAGATATCGGCCCACAAACATAGAGAAAATAACGTGATTGAGACAGGGGTGAAGAAAATTTGTGTGTTGGAAAAATTAGGGTGGCCTCACCGGTTGCCTCATTCCTCTTATTAGCCCCACTGTATGCAGCGAGTAATGCAACTCGTTTAATGACACAGTCGATTGTCAATTTGGCATAAGTTTATTGTCAAACGTGTCTATTATGGTCGCACGTGAGCTGGGATACTGAAAGCATGCACACACTTGGATAGGAGGACTCTTAGGGTACGTATATCTACTCTGTCTCAATTGACGGCATTGGTACCATTATCTCTGAACGATTGGGATATGTTGACTGGGAAAGTTGCACGATAACCGGTTCATATGTCATTTATTTTGCTGTGTTCAGTTTTGATTATCTGTGTTATGGTCCAAAGCATCCTAGATGGCCCCCTGTGTGCTCGATTCATTTGTCCTAGGTAAAACGCGCAAATATTTATCACCATTTTATGAAATTATTATACCATGGTTTTCATCATGTTCTGCTATCAATGGTAACACCAGAAATCACATACCGATTCCTCATACGAACTCTTTGTGGGGTTCGGTTTACCCACCTCTTGCTGGCAGGTGAAATCAGCGCAACAAAGGCTACCTGGATGGAACGCCGGCGAGTCGGATCCAGTGGACATTTTTCAGTGGCGCTGACCAAAGTCGTTCAACAGAGTGCTTGGACCCAACATATTGCGGCCGCCAGATGCCGCGCAGACCAACTACCACCCATCCTGGAATTGGCCATCACCAACGAAACACGCTTCGTCGATCAGGTGATGTTTAACGCTCCACTGGGACATAGTGACCACAGTGTGCTGGTGCTGACCTTCAGTTTCATCTGCTACTGGGCCAGAATTCCCCAACATCAAACTTGGATTCGGAACTTCTCCCATGCACACTTTGTCAAACACGTAAAACAGGGACCAGCTTCAGCGGATGACCTATACGGGTCCATAGAAAGTTCAGTTCACGAGGCTGACAGGATGTTCGTCTCAAGAAAACTAGAAAGCAGTCGGATGAGCCGCAAGCTGTCGAAAAGGATTTGGCGGCTTTTGGGAAATAGGTCTCAACTATTTTTCAAACATTTGACAAGAGGAAACACAGAAGGTTAGCTGGCATTTTGGAGAATGCGGAACCGCTGTAAATCAGAGATCCACCAAAGGAATATACGAGGAAAACCATTCTAGCCCTCTCCCGGAAAACCAGAATTGTGCTGGTTAAATACCTGACACATCGCCACAGAAACGAGCCATTGGTTTTCCCATTCAGAGGCAGTAACGGGTAACCAAAAGTATCCCAATGGTGGTAGGTGAGGTCTGCATAAAACACTATGCAGTCCTATATTCAGCCCCGGTGTCCCCGTGACATCTAATTTTGTCAAGGCGTAACTATCAAGGGTCTCTAAT